TTGTACTGACTGCTTAATTCCTTATAATTCTCATGCACTCATTTCTTGGATCACTTAAGTCAGCTTGTAACTTAGGCTTTTTTATCATGTGTTAAACAGCAAAACATTTGAGATTACCTTCATACCTCGATGCTAGATTCGCTTTTTTTCACCAACATCTTTTTGTTATAGTCAATGCCTCAGTAGAATTCTCTCTCTGTTAACCATAATGTAATGTATGTTAAAGACATGTTTTAATTTAAAGGCTCAAATATTTTTCCTAAATGTTTTCATTTTTCCATTGCTTTTATAGGCATATCAAGCTTATTCGATATCATCACCATCTTCTAGCTAGCATCCTTTAAAACATTATTTTGGTGTTTTTATTTAAATTAAAATAATGAAGTTTACACTGGGACAGAGAATTACTTGACTTGGTCTTTACGTTTCAGGTCATTTCAACTACACCCTTTCGTTTCTCTTCAGTTAAATTTCATCTTTAGAGAGACGACTGTCTTTCGGCTACCCATTTCGAGTCATCATTTTAACGTGTAATCTAAATCATGTATGAACATTTATATATGATCATTATCTTCTAGTAAACATCTGGCAAGGCATCTGTAATAAAGTGTACATTGCACAATTCATTAAAACGGATAATTTACTTAACAGGAAGCTATCTTCCTTTCAGGCTTTTAAATTTACTATTTGTATAAATAAGAGAGCAGAACCTTAACGAATTCTCATTCGTTGCATGATTTAATTTCCGTTGTGGTTTATAACTGATGGAGCCTCATTCATTATACACAAATAATCAATTCATGCAAAATTGACATTTGTATTACTACTTTTTTATTGTCGCACGCCTACGGTTCATCCTCCATTAAGCTTCTCGGCTGGCTCATTTCGAATGGTCTTCTTGACGCTGTCGTGTCCCTACGCTCGCCCCACCTTGAGGCCTACTTGCGTTCTAGGCTTTCTCAGACCCCGGATGATGTGTCACTTCGATGTCTGCTCTGGAGGCACCTTGAACGTCGAGGTGCTCATGCTGAGGCTGCTAGAGTCCTCGAGCATCTGGCCACGACACCCTGCCCTCATATCGACATAAATGACAGGATAGAGTACCTTTCACGAGCCTTGGTTATCGTAAAAGCCCTGACAGGTAAGTACGCTGAAATGTGCTAGCTGTGTCTAGAAGCAATCTCAAAAATGCCTTATTTCATCTGGCTCCATAATTAATCTATATTTAGGGGGTCTTCCGACAAACCTTAACTTTTTAAATATAATGTTTATCCAGGCTCTAGATAACTGATTTTTTCATTCGTAAGATACTAACTCCTTATACTAATCAGATTCCTTCGAGTTGCTACCGCAACTTTCTTTAAAATGATCTTTACTGCAATTTTTGCAAAAATGGCTTTCTTTTCATTTTTGCATCTTTTTACACACTTTCATATTATAATAGTTGTTTATCTATACAGACGTTTTCCCCACTTGTCATTTTATTAATGCATAGCCTTCTATTATAAGAACTGTATTCACCATATTTAGTTTACAGTGATGAAATATTGCTATACCTTCTTTAAATTTTATATAGCCTTGCTTCCTAAGGGATAATATCGTTCCGGGTGGATGACAGTTCTACCTCACCAAGGCCTCATCAGCACCCAACAGGACATAAATGAAAAAGGATGAATACATATCTTATATCAGATCTACTTGTAATATCAAAAGCGTGCTTATAAACTGAAAAAACCTTTTATATTGTGTTGGTTCGATCTTGTAATTCTGTGCTTACGATGGCGCCTCTCACGGAGGGTGCCGGTGAAACGTTTGGGACAGTATCCAACCAATGGTAAAGTTCTGGAAGTCACGAATTCTATGTCGCAGGACGCGGAACTAGGTAGGTTTCACAAGGTCTGCCTGACGCTCCGACAAAGTTGTAGAAACAAGGTCGAACCAACGCTATAAGGCTAAAGAAGACTTCGACCAAGCAGAAGCCACACCATCTTGGTCTTCATATATTAAAATTTTCTATTGTTGGCCGTCTGTCGATGTGGAATTTCTCACCATTCATGCGTAATGAGAAAGACATCTCTTATTTTCAAAATCCTTATCATGTATACTAAATGCTTTGCAGTCATGTGGCATATAAGGCAATGCGTTTTATTCTGAATCAAAATGTCTACATTTCGCAATCAGCTCGGGTGCTAATGAAGTTCAGACAATATTTAAACTAGCCAACTGA